AATGCCGAAACGTCTGTTTAAAAAGCCCATCACTGCCGTATCCTCTACAACTCTCAAATCGCACATTAAAGCAAGTTCAAATCCTATTCCAATGACGTATCCATTCAAAGCTGCAATCAGTGGTTTCTTGAATAATTCAGTTCTATTCGCCTGTGAAGAATTAAAGAACCTTTTATAACTTAATATACTAAATCAAATGATTCATTTCACATCTTTAAATATAATGCAAATGTACCAATGGCCCAAAGTGTGGTATGTTTTCCTCACTCTCGCCATCATAGTCTGCAATTTCTTTGAGATCATAACCGGCACAAAAGTTGCCTCCTACTCCATATAACACTCCTACTGATGTCTCTTCGTTATTTTCAAATTTATCTAATGCTTCTGATAGTAATTGTGCGGTTGCAGTATCTAAACAATTTCTCTTTTCAGGACGATTAATACCAATCGTAGTTACTTTACCCACTTGATTCACCAATATTGTGTCTTCTGAAACGTATCATTAAATAAATTTTGTAGCAATTTTGTAACTTTTCTATCTATGTCTATTGTTTATATCTCAAATATTTACCTTTGTTCTTATCTAAATTTGCATTTGCAGCTGGCTGCGAGGAGTTCTGCTGGTTTAGACTTCGTGGTACATTAAGTCTAAGTATCCGAGTAAAAGAAACGGGCAATTTTCTCAGAGAATGCATTCTTTTTTGCATTACAGATTTTTTTTACGGCAAGTACTTTTGAAAAAATTTTATTAAAGCCTTAAGTTATGTCAATTTTTACAACCTCCTGAATATAATGCAAGCAATATACAAACATACAAACATATATCACGCCACGCATCTCATACAATCACCGGCAAGAAGAAATCAGACAAGAGAGAAAAGGGGGCAGAGGCCATACCGCCGTTTTCCGTAAGACGCTTTTTCTAGCTGGTGCAATAGCGCCAACTAGATCCATTTTAGAACTGGCGGAACTACATGGCCAGATTCACTTTTCGGTGCCACGGTAAAACGGCCAGTTTTGGTGCGTGTCTGTACTAAGGCCGGTATTCATAATCCGTTCTTATTATTTAAGATCGTCTTAAATATGGTCTTAGGTCGTCTTAAGAGACAAGGTATATAAAGTATTAATAATATTTTTATAAATTATATATCTTCTATGTGATCTTTTATCCTTACAATATATTATAAAATCATACATCTTTTTAATTTTAGAATTTATATCGATTACACATTCACGAAAATGGATCGAAAATGACTACGAAGGCATTCATTATGTATTGAATGAAATCCTGGCAAAAGATTATTCATGGAATACCGTTCTATTTTGAAAATACTTTCCAGTCAGAAAAATGCATTGTAAAATGTACAATTTGTAATATAAATATATTAAAATTATGCATAAATAATTTCTTAACTTTTTTTTTATAAAGATATTGTTTTACTCTTAAATATTGTAAGATTTAAAATACTATGTAAATACCATATTAAAATAAGATATATTAAAAATATATGTAAAATTATGTCGGATCATGTACATGCCATTAAATTTTCGTGCAGTCAAATAACAAAAAGAAAAAAAAAATTCTTTTTCATTGATTAAGAATTGTTATAAGCACAAATCACGACATAAATAAAGAGAGATCTATCTCTATCTTTTTATAAGAAAAAATCTAGATAAACAAGTTTATTTTCTTAAGATTTCATCAAAAATAACAAAAAAAGAAAACAAAAGAAATAGTACATAAAAGACAGAATGAGAATGTAAACTAAAGAAAAATAAAAAGAGAAAATAGAAATACAGATTTATTTTACTTTAATATAATAAGAGTAATTTTTTATAAAAAGATTACAATACTACAAAATATTAATTAAATATGTTTTCTATAGGATACAGTGCGTTTAATAGCAGAAATCAAATAACATTAAAATAAACGAACACACGAGGAAAGGTGTGTGCGCGCGTGCTAATTAGTTCACAGACATTATTATATCTTCTATTATTCAAAAAAATTTTGAAAGAATATTCTCGAAATATAAAAATTTAAAATTTTTAGAGAATGTTTTCAAGACATAAAAGTTTTAAATAATATAAATATTAAAAAATCGGTGTTTCGGATTTTGTCAAATATGACATTTTTATAAATATATATTTGAATATGCCATAAACATATGTAACTCTTAAAAAAAACATGTTAAATCGAACCTCGCAAGTATTGTTGCCTCTTTTCCGCGATGTTAATTCGTTATCTCGACACCGTTTTATTGATACTTTATATCAATAAAAGCCTATCATGGCTGAGCTGTATATTTGACAGTTCAAATACTAAATATGTGTATAATTTTGATATAATTAATTTTGAAAAAACGGGTAACTAGAGTTAACATTAAGTAATTTTATAAATAGGTGTGTGTGTATGTGTGCGCGTGTGCGTGAAAAAAAAATAATTAATGTCGTTAAAACTATAGGAAAATATAATAATAATAATAGAATAGATCTCCGCGTTTTGGAAATCATAATTTTTCGCATGTCGTATAAAAACACATCCAAGTATTAAGATAAGAAGATTTTTTTGCATTTTCTTAATTTTTACGCTCCAACCAATATTGCAAGAGATATTTCGATTTTTTTTATAATGTTTTGCGAAAATCTGACAGTATACCTATTACCGAGCAATCATATGAATATAAAAGAATTAATTAATGCTGCTAATAATTAAATTTAAGTAAAAAATAAAAGATTACATAACTATAGGAATATTATAGTAGAATAGACTTCTGTTTCTCAGAAATCGATTTTTTGTATGTCGTATCACATATTAAGATATTTCTAAGTCCCGAGGGGAGCACAAAAATATTTTGGAGCCCCTTTTTCTCTTTATTCTCTCGATTACTGTTTCTTTTACTTCCATTTTATTTAAAAATATTAATATAACAAATAAATATATATACATATATACGGGGTGTATAAATAATATAAAGTTTATGCCCCGTTTTTGACGCTGTTTTAGCTTCAAAGCACAAGATTTTTTGCCTTGATTACTCATCAAACGTTTACTCGAAGTATTTCATTGATCAATCTAATAATTCAAATACTACTAATAATCCAAGACGAAGTATATGACGTCATTAATCGATCTCGGAATGATCAAACCTATTTCAATCGAAAATGCTGTACGTTATCGCCGGTATAGCTCTCAAGTTCATCAGAGTACTCAAACCTCCTCACCCGGCAAATGCCTTCGTTAAGGTGGAGATACCATCGAGGAGGAAAAATTTTTATTCGGATTTTATATTATTAGAATCCACTAGAAATTTTTAAATAAAAGTGATAAACAAAGATTAATATTTGAAAATATATAATGTTTATACATATATAATAATGTAATAATACATATTGGAAATACATAAAATATACATAATATACACAAATATACATTTATACATACTTGTTGTATTATATATACATATATTGAACATATAAAAAATATTTTATTATATTATATTACACGAAAATGTTCGAAATACGTACAATATAAAATTTATTAGAATTTTTAACAGAAACGTAGTTGATAATCTGACCGCGACCAAAAAAAATCATCAATAAATTTGATTATGTCTCTCTCAATTAAAAAAGAAAGATCTTATAAAGAAAATGTCCGACGCGCGGGGGGCGCACGGAACGGGACGTGAAAAGATAGATGAAGTTTCGATGTTACCCAACGATTAAATCAGAAGATAACACACTGGTTAATATATGACAGAGAGAAGAACAATCCTAAAAGTGGAAAGCGACTACAACTTGTCTTATTTCTATGTCGGGCCTTATGGAATCGATCCACAAAGGAAAGTTAAGTGATCCATTAAACGTCAAAAGTCCCGCTACAGAAGAGAACGAATCCCCGATCTTCCTGATTGCTCCCGATAACGGTGATTTCGGCAGCGAATTAACGACTGTTACCATTGTCATCATCTTCAATATATGAAATAAAAATTCGCGTAAAAAAAACATGTTCCTCCACTATTAAGAAATATCCTTTTTTATAAAAAAAAAACAACTTGATATAACGATCTTTATGTATATGTGGTTACAATCGAGTATATTTAAGAAAAATGAAATACATGCGCTTTTATCATTGCTTGGTTAAATATGTGAGTACAAATAAGTTTAGGGTACCAAGTGTGCTCGAGACAAATTAAATCCGATAACAGCAAGATTTAAAAAAAAATTCAATTCAAATATTTAGCCACATTAAATGAAAAATTACCAATCAATTAATTTGTTTATAACATTTTAATCAAAATCAATAAATTAATTTGCCGATATCTTACTGATATCAGAGTATCCATTCAATTTGTCTCGAATCTTCTAATTACTCACATATTTCATGTTACATTCATGCATTCGCGCGATATAATATTAAATATGATATAAAAAAGAGTTTTGTTAAATATATCACATAATTTGCGCATGTATTTTATTATATGTACATATACATTTATTTATAAACTAATCCTAAAATGGTGGGATGTCCAGTGCCTGCAAATGGTTTCTTAAAAGAGACAAAAAATTAAATTAATTAAAAAAATATATTCGTTTGTAACCACAATTTTTTAAAAATTCTGCAAAAACTGATTATAATTTTAATTTATATACTTGAAAAAAAATGAAATTTATCCATTATATCCATGTTTAATCTATTATTAAATATTTTCATCTTTAAGAGATAATACTGATACTAATACGAATAATGATGGAAGAACATTCCTAACAAAAAAAGAAGCAAATATATCTTCTCTCAAAGTATATTATTTAATGAATTTTTCTCGTAATTCGATTTCAAACAGTATATGGTGTTCGTCGTTAAATCACTGCCAAAAGCATCACTTCCAGAAACCGCCAAAAAAACCTGGGTTTAATTCTAACTCTGTAACGGAAACTTCCAACTTTTAACGAGGCACCGAACTAAGCATCGTGGATAGGTCCCACAAAAACCGACGAGAAATAACTCTCCACGATGAAGATCGTTCCGATTCTCCACCAGTACAAACCGCGCATTCGCTAGCGTCCACCTGATATGAGGAACAGCGATAAGGCCTCTTCGTCAAGATAGCGATCGCATCCAAAAACATGGAAAGAACGCAATGTTTGCAATATTATTTAAGAAATCGTTCAGCGAATATTTAAAACGACGCGAAATTCGTAAAATGTGCCTAATCAAAAACGATAATCAAAGAAAATTATTTTGTTTCGCAGATTTTTTAATCTCCGCGCTTAATCAATAATATTTAATTTTAAAAACTTTTCAATATTTCAAATATACTTATATTTTTGCAATATCAAAAGCGCGATCAACAGATTTCGCGAGTAAAAAGCTAATATTTAATCGTTGGCTTAATATTGAGCCTTGATATACTTATTTAATAATTGTTATATTATGTAGAAGAGAGAGAGAGAGAGAGAGAATTCTAGCGATATTTGCGATTATAAAATTTTTAAATAAAAGTTTCTCGATTTTATTGATAATCTTTTGGTATGAGAAAAGTAAGCTATATTAAATTTTTGAATAATTTTACGATATATACGTAAATGTTGAAATCTAATATTTATCGAATATGTTAACTCAACGAATTTTGCGTT